CACACACACACACACACACACACACACACACACAGGAGGGCTAAGAAAATCCCACAAATGTTCCAGAGGGAGAAAAAGCTGTGGAATTCACATGGAAAAGGGCACTGTGCTGACAGAGAGGAGAGGAACACTGTGTGGACGATGGGGGACATTTATCCTGGCAGCAACTGCCTGGCTGTATGCACCGTTCACAACTCCTCCCTCCTGCCTGTGCAGGACTCCTTTCTGGTCATTCTGAATTCATTCTCAGGAATGCTGGAAGAACCATACATCTTGTACAGCTCTGGAATCCCAACGAGGCACCCTCAAACCCAGATCCAAAGTCACCCAGAACTAATTTACGATTCAAACATGGGAGTCACATGAACAGAAAAATCTGCCGGTGGGGGGCCATTGCTAGGGGCTGCAGCCCTGGTCCTCAGCTACTAGCCCCCAAGGAAGGGTAGGCTTTGAATCCTAACCCCTTTGCTCAGCTTGGGGTGTGTGTGTGTGTGTGTGTGGCTTTCTCCACACCTCTAGTGACCAGGAAACCTGGACAGTAAGTGCATACCACGTGGGCAAATCGGAGGTAACTACTTGGGATGCACATTTCAAACCCCTCTGGGCTCCTACGAGTTTGCACCAGGCCCAATTAGCAAACAGATTACATGCAAACGATCGCAAGCCACTTTGTCTCAGCTGTCAGGCCTCCAAATGAACCCCTAGATGTTCATTTGCTGCCTGGCCAGGGGAAGGCCCTGGTGCCACCCTGAGGCCCTTTTTTGCCAGCACTGCCAGCCTGCCTACAGAGAAGGAGCAGGTTTTTCTTCCAGGGAAAAGCAGACCCTTCCGCTGGAGAACCTCCTTCCCTCCCTCCGCCTGCCCCATCCAACCCTAGCATTTGCCTCCTATCATGTTAAAAGACGTAATGGCTCTCTGAAAAGGATCCTCGTTTCCTCAATGGGGCTATAAAAACTTGCAAGTGGGGGGGGAAAGCAAGACAAAACCTTCTGCTCACACTGAAGTATATGTGAGAAAGCTAGGCTGCCATGTGGCCTAGCGAGTGGAAGCGAAGGGCCGCTGAGCAGAGTGAACCCGCTCAGGTGGCAGACTTTGAAGGATCCCTTCTAGGAGACCCTCTGCAAAAGGGAGGATCCGGCGACCGACGGGACGCACGGCTCTTGTCCGGCTACCTCCTGGTGGGGGGGGGGGCTAGGATATGCTTCCTATTGCTCTGGAGGACCCTCACCTGGCCCTCTGAGGGGACAAGACTCCCTCTGGGCTGCCATTTCCTCCTCCAGGTCTCTCTGGCTGCCCTGGCAAGACAAGGTCCTGCTCCCAGCCAGGTTTCCATCGCTCAGTTACCCCCAAAACACACGTATATACACGCATGCGCGCACACAGAGAACCTCAGGGAAAGCCTCTGTGTTTCCCGGGGCAGCGCAGGGGCCTCTTTGTTTTCCACACATGTGGCTCCCATCTGCAGGCCGGCCTGTTCTGGCAAGTCCCCGAGCTGAGCGCCAGCTTGTTGCAGCCACTGAACTGAAGAGGCAAGTCCATGACTGGAATTCCCCCCCCCAAAAAAAACCCAGGCATTCCTGGCCTGCGGCCCAAAGCCACGATGGCTGTTCCCATGGCAAAGATCCCGGCCGGCCGACGAAACCAGGCGGAGCAAATCGGTTGTCCAGCAGGCCGCCTCGGGAACAGACGACAAAGGAGCACACATACGCACACACAGGACAGAGCCTGGCCTGTTTCTGTCGCCCATATGCAGTAGCCGGGGGGGGGCACCCTGGCCCCTTTGCTTACTGCCAGAGGGATGGGGTGGGAGCGGCCCACACAATTTTCAGAGCAAGAGCTAGGGATACAGCATTCCCAGGTGCGCATAAAGCACAACTTTGCACTCTTATCTGGGCTTGTGCTAGGAAAATGGATCATTCCTAATCCCCAGGCTGGTCACCGGAGCCTTAAAACTCCAATTTCTCAGCGATAGCCCATGACCGATGGGGAAAAGGATGGACTTGTCCTAAATAGTTGAGCAGCTGGAAAAAAAGGCATCACTTTGTGTGTGTGTGGTGTTTGTTTTTTTTTTGGACAGGGGGCTGAGCAACCCCCAAACAGTGAAGCTCATTTCTCCCTGCCCCGCCTGTGACTCCCCCAGTGCTTCTGACCCCATTCACTTTCCTTCCTGTCTCCCACAGACAACAGAAACCAACAGGCGGGGAGCCAGGCCAGGGGAGCTCTCCCTGAGAATACACAGCTACAGAGGAGACGTCCAGAACCGGAAGGCACCATCCTTGAAACCTGCAATCCCCACCCCCAATACCCGCTAGAAGCGAAATATAGACCTGACTCAAGTTTCTCACAGGTTGCAACTTTTTTTGCCCTTTCACTGAGAGCCAGAATATGCTTTCCTCCGCCAACAACACAAGAGACAAAAGGACCCCATTTCAGGCCTAGAAGTAAAACCGGCAGGATTAAAAAGGCCATCGTAATGCGCAGAAAAATCCTCGATTCTTCGGAACATTATAACAAAATCTTCTAAAACTTGTTAATACACAACCAGGGACCCGGCATGAGTGGGAGTTAATGTCCTAAATAGTTGAGCAGCTGGAAAAAAGGCATCACTTTTTGTATGTGTGTGTGTGTTTTTTGAGAGGGGGCTGAGCAACCCCCAAACAGTGAAGCTCATTTCTCCCTGCCCCGCCTGTGACTCCCCCAGTGCTTCTGACCCCATTCACTTTCCTTCCTGTCTCCCACAGACAACAGAAACCAACAGGCGGGGAGCCAGGCCAGGGGAGCTCTCCCTGAGAATACACAGCTACAGAGGAGACGTCCAGAACCGGAAGGCACCATCCTTGAAACCTGCAATCCCCACCCCCAATACCCGCTAGAAGCGAAATATAGACCTGACTCAAGTTTCTCACAGGTTGCAACTTTTTTTGCCCTTTCACTGAGAGCCAGAATATGCTTTCCTCCGCCAACAACACAAGAGACAAAAGGACCCCATTTCAGGCCTAGAAGTAAAACCGGCAGGATTAAAAAGGCCATCGTAATGCGCAGAAAAATCCTCGATTCTTCGGAACATTATAACAAAATCTTCTAAAACTTGTTAATACACAACCAGGGACCCGGCATGAGTGGGAGTTAAAAGGATTCACTCCCTTTCTTAAGAGAGTTGTGTCTAGAAAGATCGCTGGCAGTGTGACTCCAGCTTTCCTGGAAACTCCCCCCACCCCCCAGAATCCTGGGTCAAGGACATCCCAGACACTAAGTAAGAAGCCTATCTATCCGTACTCAGCTCTGTAAGGTTTTGTGGCTCCCACGGGTGGCCCAGAAGACAGACACTGCCCAAGAACGACAGGTTTTAGGGAAGAGCTAAGCCACGAGCCATGGCAAGGAGCCACGTTTGGGGTGCCTGTCCACCGTCACCCACTTCCCAAGGGCCCTCAAACACTCTCGGAAAGGCACCAGCCCACGGCTCCAGCGCTATCCTGTCACAGGGTCACTGCGGCTCTTTACGCCCCCCCCCCGGGTTGCGGGACCAAAAAGCAGGGGTTGCTTCAGAGCACGAAGACGAATGGGATGTCCCCAGTCTCTGCTGAACCACTGAGAGGAAGGAAGGAAAAACGCTTACCTTTGTACCAACTGTTATATCTTGGACAATGCTGTAACAGAAAGAATGACAATGTTAGAGAGGTTTGCATGGGCAGCCTGGAACAGGTCCCTGAAGTAAATTTTATAAAAGCAAGCCATGCCCATCCTCAGCAAGGAAGAGAAAAGAGAGGGGAGAAAACAGAGAGAGAGAGAGAGAAGAGTTATGGAAGTACACAAACAGGTGGCATTTCCTGCAGCAGGGACTCCTTCTCCAACCCAGGGAAGGAAGGGCCCTTTGCCCCCCCGGCAGGCAACACACCTTGCCTCCCAACCACAGCCCAAGCCAGAGGTGTGCCACGCAGCCACACCCACATGCGCAGAAGCCACGCAAATGGGACACTCCACCCAAGAGATACTCTGAAGGGCTCCACAAGGAGAAGCCTGCTGTTTGTTTAATCACAGGAGGGGAAGAGGTGTCCCGGGCCCTGCCTCAGGCCACCCTCCACCCGGCTCAGCAAAAGAGGCCCCTGCTCAGGACAACGCATCTCAGAGGTCTCGTGGTCTGCAGGCAGGGGCCATTCAAGACTCTGGCCTTCAGCCCTGATGCAGGGGGCGCTGGTGGATCCGCCTCTTCTCCTCCAGGAAGCCAAGGGCTCAGGCCCAGCACCCTCTCCAGCTGGACTGTGCAGCTTGGGGGCCGCCCCCTCCCACAGATCCTGCTGCCCTTCCGCTTCCCAACCCTGCAGAGCCCAGAGCGAGTCCTAGCTTTTAGGGTAAATTTTTAGGAACCATTTCCCAAAGCAGGTCCTATGAAGACGACAGAAGAACCTTCATTCCTAGAAAGCCAAATTTAGAGAACAGGAAGCAGCGGATCCTCTTCGGGGGTCCCTTCCGGCTCCGGAATTATTGATCTGCTGGAAGGCTCATCGATGCTCTAAGTACTTCCCTCCAAAAAGGCTATTCTCCCCTGGTCATGAGGCTTGGCGTAAATATCACAGCCCTGTAAGCCTCTATCTAAGGAGGCCTCTGCAAGTGGGCTTGACCCACAAAAGCTCACGTTAATATACAAACAGTCTCCAAGTTACTCCTGTTTTGGGGCTGTTGCTGGTTTTTGTCTGGCAAGCTCTCAATAGAAACATTTCCAAAGAGCAAAGCTTGCCAAGCCCTTTGCGGGCAGAAAACCTGAAGGCCGTGACCCAGCTTCTGCACCATAAAGGGGGACATGCCAGCCCACCAGAAACTCAGGAGGATTACGAGCAGAAGGAATTCCACACCTTCTCTCTCAACAGAGCAGGAGGGCTTCAGACACTTCCCAAAGAGAAGTAACCCAGATGTGCCTGTTGTGGCCAGGTACTAAGGCCTCATCCTGAACCTGTTAATAACAACGGCAGCACGCACCCTGTGATTTCCTCAAAATACCCACCTGCATAATTTGGGTGCAGAGGTTTACTAGGGAGGAATGAGAAGGATTCCCGCTCAAGACCAGACATGCTTGATCCCAGCCACCTTGACTGGGAAAGTGTTTACGGCTCTCAGCAGATCTCACTTCCCTCCCAGTTTGATTCAAGCCCCAGGACACCAGACGAGAAACTCAGGCATTGCCCACCCGGAGCTGCTCTTCCGAAAAAGAGAAACTATGCCGGGGTGGAGTGGAAGGATGACCTGGCCTCCCCGCTACCCACAGAAACGGCAAGAGGTCGGGCTCCACAGGTCACGTTCACCTGCCAGGTCGGTTTACCAGCAGGGCGGCCACTGAGCCCTGCTCCTAAGTCCCCGGAAGGGGCACTGACACCGTGGGGGGGGGAAGGGCCAGGCTCCTGGAGGGGCCAAAAGGGCATTTTAATTCCTCCACAAGGCGTCCTGCCTCCTGAGGGTTCTGCCACCCCACACAGCCACTAAGAGAGGACAACGCAGGGCCCACTGAGTCACTGGGTGAGGCCCAGCACTTGCCCTGGAGCAGAACCACCCTCTCTGGCCAGCCTTTCCCACAACTGTACTTTTAATTCTTCAAGGTCACCTATACCTGACTCCATTTGGGGGGAAGAACACCACCACAAACAGCCACCCTCTCCCCACCCAGCGCTCCAACCTCCACCCATGGTAGCTTGCAGGGGAGAGTGTGAACTCCCCGGCCACGTGCAAAAGGGAGGGAGGGCCTGGCTGCTCACCTCCTGAGAGGCAGGAGAGGGGGACCGAGCAGGAATCGGGTCTGGGAGACCCAGAAAGGCAGCCCCCCCACCCGCAACCCGAAGACTCAGGTTTGTAAGGATGCCAGACAGCATTCACACAGCCCTGGTATGCGGCCTCAGGGCACCCGAGAGGGAGCATTAAAAAAAGGGAACCACCAAGACAGAAACTGCGGGGGCGCAACGCAAACGTGGTTGAACTACAAGGCCCAGCAGTCCCAGCGGCAGGCTACCCTTGGCTACACCTCCGAGCCAGGGGCTGCCATGTTTGGCCCCCAAACTCTGTAGTCACCGGCCCCACAGGGAGAGCCTTCTGGGTAGCAGAGGCAGGCCCCAGGTGGGTCCGATGGCAATTTTTATATATTTTTATTGTATTTTAAATGTTGTAAGCCACCCAGAGACCTTTGGGTAGTGTGGGCGCATATAAATAAAATAAATAAATAAATGGACGGCATATAAATAAAATAAATAAATAAATGGGGGATGCCCTCACAAGGCGTGGGGTGGGGTTGCCTTCATGCTGCAAAAATTAAACAAATTAATTCTCTAACATTAATGCACACACGGGGGTCCCTATTCCTTTGGGAACAGATGCATTAATAAGGCCACCTCCCTCCCTCCTCCACTGGCCACGTGTCTCTGCCCCCCCCCCGCGCAATCCACCCGCTTCCCTTTGACATCCTCTTGAGGCCAAAGGAAGTCCTTGCGGAAGGGGAGGAGGCGAGGTGAGCCTTCCCAGGCGGG